TATGTCCCGGTGTAGATGGGGTGTACTTATATTTAAAAAGTATTTGTTGTTTATCTGAAATTCACATTTAATGAGGTGTCCTGTTTGAGCTGTCACCCCTTCCTCCCCTTCTTCTTTCTTCTATATTAGCACAGCACAGCAATTCCAGTCACGCAGGCACATTTCAAGTCTCTGCTTGAGCTGAAAAGGATATTTCTCTTGGCAAAAAGGGAGAGAGAGAGAAAAAAAAATATTAAAGACTTATCTAATTTACTGAAGTGGAGAATCAATTATTTTAGTGATCTCTATTGTGAAGTTTGAGAATGTCAAATTAGATCATGTCCAGGGTCTCCATCCGTGTGGGTCACTTTTACTCCTCTTCCCTCCTCTCTTCCTGGTCAGTAAGAAATGTCATTGACTTAACAAGAACCACCTGATTTCTCTATAAGAAGTTCATATTGTTTCTCTCCTACCAATTTATATTTGATTGGGCATTCAATAGAGGGAAAAAATATACCTATTAAGAATAACACTAATTTTATGAGATAAAATATTGACTTACTCAAATATTTCATTAGCAATATTATTTCATTGCTTAAAATAAAAATAGATTATTTAATGATTGACAAGTGGAATTTTCTCTTGAGAGAAATATGATTTTGGGACTTGCATTAATATGGGCCTCTCCTCTGACTATACAGATGTAAGGATTCTGATATATATATTTTTTTGTACTGGGGATTGAACTCAGGGACACTCAACCACTGAACCACATCCTCAGCCCTATTTTAAATTTTACTTAAAGACAGGATCTCACTGAATTGCTTAGCACCTCACTTTTGTTGAGGCTGGCTTTGAACTCTTGATCCTCCTGCTTCAGCCTCCTGAGATGCTGGAATTACAGGCATGTGCCACTGCACCCCGCTAGGTTTCTGATTTTAAAGTAATAAAATTTTTAGCTAAAAGAAAGAAATTCTCAGATTCCCGAATGAAGATGATATCAGCTGCCACTTTGTTCAGTCTGTAATGAACTCAAAACCAGATTCTTCACTCTGTGACCTGGTAATGTAATTTTAGATTAGTCTGTGATGCAGGGCTGGGATTTTAATGTCCTCTCACAGAGACTAATGATACTAAAAAGCTGAGACTTGGGAGGACCTCCTGCCTGAGATAGGAGAACTGGAAACAGAGTTCACTGATCCAGAGAAGACTAATGAATCTTGTTCTTTGAGGGAAATAGCTGGAACAAGAAAATAATCTATATCAATACTAAAACTTATAGCAATATGGTTTGGGAATCCAATTTTAGACTTCCCTGTGTGTGAGAATACCAAGCTAAGAAATCTATTTGTTTCAGGTTAGATAAATCTCTGGAGCTTCTTGCAATAGCAAATTTGAAACCATTGTGGGGGAGAGCCGGTCCATTTGCTCACATGGGGTGTCATTATTTATCATGAGTTAATATTCTACAGGAATTTCTTTTTATTATGGGTCTTGAATGTTCCTTGGGTGTGGGAGTGTCTTTATAACATTTACCAATATATAACCAAAACCTAATTATTGGCCTCAGTTATGTGTGAATAGTATGGCTTCCACTCTGGTTAGTTTGGTGTTACAGTGATGGACATGATTTTCCTCTACACTTTCACCCATGCAATTGTCTACCACTAGAAACTACATAGTTTGTCTGAATGATAGTGAAAATGATGAGGCTGAAATCCTTTGCTTGGATATTCCTTAGTGAAATGACGTTTTTGAGAGGGAGGGGGACATTGGATGTACTTATTCCATTAGCCCATAGGAAAAGATGAAAAGTTTCATTCTATTTCACGTGCTTTCCCTGATCGCTGTTATTGCATTGTATGAATCAATGTGTCATACTTTAAATATCCACTGTCGATATTTTTGAAAATCTAAAAGTGGACATTTGATTAAACATTACTTTGGATATGTTGCCCTCCCTAATGTGGATGGGCCTTAGACAATCAAAAGAAGACCTGAATAGAATAAATGTCTGTCTGCCTAACAAGGAGTTCCTTCTTCCCACTGCCCTGATATCAGTCTTTTCTGCCTCTTTTAGATGAACTCTGAAACCTTGGCTCTTCGTGGGCCTGAAGACTACCCACATGTGGACTGGAACTACATTGATTCCCCTGGGTTTCCAGTTTGCTAACTGCAGATCTTGTGACTTTTCATGTTCCACAATCATGTGAGCCATCTGGTGAGATCATCCTGTACTTTTCTGTTAATGTACTAACATAAAATTCAATTAAATATTTTCATTTTACAGGGAGTGGGTACTGGAGATTGAGACCAGAGGCCCTCAACCACTAAACCCCATCCCCAAGCCCTTTCTTATTTCTTATTTTGACACAATGTCTCCCTAAGTTGCTGAAGGCCTCTCAAAGTTGCTGAATCTGTCCTTGAACCTTCAATCCTCCTACCTCAGCCTCCTGAACCACCGGGATTATAGACATGCTCCACCTTACCCAGCTAAATATTTTCTAATTTTGAAGCACTTCTAAATTTCTAGAACAAACTCTAGTTGGATATGATGTATTACTCTTTTTGGATATTGCTGTTTCATTTATTAGCATTTATTTGGTTTCTGCATCTGTGATCTTCAGTAATATAAGCCTATAATTTTCCTTTATCACACTGTGCTTGTCTGGTTTTGAAATTATGTTTGTATTCACCTTATAAAATAGTGACTTGAGAAGATTTTTCTTTTTTTTCTATTTTTTTAATTTTTCCAGTTTGAATGGAAGTGAACTTCCTTTAAGATTTAGTAAACTTACTTCTAAATCAATATGAGACTGGTGCCTACCCTCCACACATATCAACATATATAGAGGGTAGGTTTTGAATCATATACATAGTTTCTTTAATGATTATTATTTTTATGTTTTCTACATCTTCTAGGATTTAATTTTGCTAATCTATATTTTTATAGAAATAGTCAATCCAATCATAATATTTTAACATATTAATATAAATTTATGTATAATTTTTTAGTTTGTTTTAAAAAAAACACTTTCCTGGTGGCTGATTATACCTCCTATCAAATGTATTATTTATCCATTAGCCCTTTAGTCACTCTTTACTCTCTCTCTGATCAGTTTTGCCAGACTTTTCTTACTTTACGGATTATTTAGTTGTTTATGAAGTTGATTTTATTGAACTTTTCATTTAAACATTTCATTATTACTTTTTACATGTTTTGTGATAACCTTCCTTTTTCATGGGGTTTACTGATGGACAAGAGTGTGGTGGAAATGCAAAGAGGAGGGAATTTCAAAGCATCACTTCAGGGTTAACTCCTAATGCCAGCCTGCTCCAATGTCACAGATAAAATAAAATAATTCAAGTTTTTTATTTTTACCTTTGATGTACTGAAAAGTTTTGGATATGTAAAACCCCAATATTATATTTTATAATTTCATCTGTGATTTCAGAACTTAGGGTTTCATAACAACACTCCTAACTCTTCTGTGTAAAATTTAAAGTATATTTCATCCTATTTATTTCTTCTTTTTTGATTGGTTCTTTTTTTAGTTATCCCTGACAATAGAATATATTATGACATAATTATAAAAGCATGGAATATAATTTGTTCTAATTCAACCCCTGGTATTTGCCCTTCCTCTCCCTCCCACCTCCTCTTTCCTTCCCTCTACATTCCTTCTTTATTCCAAACAGCTAAGGCAGATTCCAAATGAGTTGTGAAATGGGGGGATTTTCTTCTTTCATGAGGGTGTCTTAATTCTAAGATTAAAATCTCGGAAACCTTTTTCTAATGGCATCTGAAGAAACATGAAGCTTACCAGTGATGTCTACACAAATCATCTTCACCCCTGTTGTTTCAATAGTCTAGATCCATTTCAGTGCATGGTCATGGGCTCATTTTGATACCAGTAACGATTACTGAAGCAGTCAGTCCTCCTGGAGGGTCATGCCATAACACTGTGTCTTTCAAATTCAAGTGCAGCCACCACTCCTGGACATTCTATCTCCAATGTGCATCCCAGCTGAGAACTACTAGGAACTAACTATAATTTTTAAAATCCTTAGATAGAGAAAATGAGTTTTGAAATTCTAGACTTCTAGGTTCATATATGTTAGAATATGAAGTGTAGAGATGTTTGAATCATAAGAAAAACCCTGAAAGACCACAATCGGAAACATACCACACCATCCAGATGAAATGTTGTTTCTTAAAAATGTAGCGAAATCTGCATTTCTTCTCATCAGAACTCAATGGGAAATACTACCGCAGTCTGGCTGGGCACAAAATCACGAGCCACTCAAGCAGGAACAAACTTTATTTTTGAAACTGCCGCCAATACCCCTTCCGGAAAATGCAGCGTTCCCCCCCCCCCACCCCAACGGGAAGTCCCTCCTCCGGAATTCCCTCCTACCGTACTTCCCCAACCAATGGGAACTCTCCAGGAGTCCTGTAGCAGGCTGAGGTGGACAGCAGGAATCTAATATCCATAAGAATGCAGATCTTAACATAATCATCTCAATGGCTTGCTGGCGTCATCTTTCAACCAAAAATGCCATGCATCATACTGCTTGGCTATGGCTCTTAGCAAAATACAACCCTCTTTGTGAACACACTTTGAAATGTTGTTCATTGAATGAATGAATGGGGTACATTATCTTCTTTGTAGGAGATTTTCCTGCTTTCATTGGCTAACTGTTTTTCCCCAGAAATTTGGTTGTACATTTTCTCCAAAACAAAACCAATGGTATTAAGAGGCATAATGTACAAACAATGTAATGATTTTTAAGTCCTAATTTAGGATATGGACACACAGGCCACATGTATGTGCATGCATGGGCACACACCACACACCACTTTTTACACTTACAAATGCACCACTTTTGTGTTAATATCCTAAGTTGTCTATGTTTGACTTAACACTTATTTTCAAAATTATTTCAACATGAACTTTTCTGTGTCTTTATATAAAATATAATTGCCTGGTTACTGAGTAAATGACTCTGAAAATAATAGAGAACAACATCAAAGAATTCTTTTGGGCAGAAAAATTTTATTTCAAAACAGAAGAGCAACAAAACATAAGAAAATTACTCTAGGAGAGAATCTATGATATAACTGGACCCCCAGGACTGAGGGAATAAAATTAGTGCCTACGTTGGGGCTAGAGTTAATGTTTAACTTTTTGAGAAAAATAATGTAGACCCTCCAAGCCGTAAGGAAAATGAGTAATTTGGAGGATGAAGGTAATTTCTTTGCTAGTGGATTACAAATTAATTTTTATTTGATGACAGCATTGGAAAGAAGAGAGTTTAAAATGAACTATAAGGTGCTTCTTTGGGACAGTGTTGGGCTGATTGGAATCATGAAGCCCATTCTGTTGAATGACATTAACTAGATTCCATGTGTCCTAATGGTGGGCCCAAAAGAAGTTCTGCATCTGTGGGGAGAGAGGAGATAAGGAGGTGGTGTTCAAAGACAAGATTCAGCAGTCAGGGATGGCACAGCACATGGGGCGGGGGCAGGTGGAGATGACACAGGTGGGCCGATAGCAAGTGGTGTGGCAGGAGACATTGCCACAGACTGGACGCAGGCGGCAGCAGGTCTGGCAGCAGCAGGAGTCACAGGAGGGGCGGCAGCAGCTGGAGATGCAGCAGGGCCTGCAGCAGCTGGGGCGGCAGCAGCAGGAGCCACAGCCACTGGAACCACCACAGCCACTGGACCCACTACAGCAGGGTCTGCAGCAGCTGGGGCGGCAGCAGGTGGTCCTGCAGCAGGTGGTCCTGCAGCAGGTGGTCTGGCAGCACCTGGGCTGGCAGCAGCCATAGCCCTGGCTAGAGCAGCAGGAGCCACAACAGGAGTTGCACATGGTGTCAGAGACTGGAGGTTCTGGGTGGGTTTCCAGGAGAGTGAATTCTTGGGTTTGAAAGTGTTCTTGGCCCACACCCCCTTTTATATCCCACTGAACTTCTCTTTCACCATATCATTATTTCCTTGTTGTTATTTACCTTCCTGGAAAACTTAATTATTTAATTACATAATAGAATGCTTCTAATTAAGTACTCCAAAGAAAGAAAATAGCATATCTCCTTTTCCTGTTGTGCTCCTGTGTTTCCCATTAAAACATTTTTGACATTTTTTTCCTTAGTTGGTGTCATACTTGACCTTGACCTATGCAGTGGTCTTTTATGAAGTACTCAAGAATGGAAATTCTGACATTTTTTTTTTCAGATGTAATATTTCCTCCTATCTGTATGCAAATCATAGAGGATGTTTTTCATAATTCAAATGTATCTGTTGTTGTTGAAGAATTTTCTGGTTAGGTGAAATGTTGGAAAGGAACTAGAAGAAAAGGCCCATTTGGGAGGAGGATGTCCCATCTGTCATGAGGATGATGGTGATTTTTGTGTGGCCTCCCTAGAAGGTCAGGGTCAGACCTGAGGAAGTTCCAAGCTCTGTGTCAGATCTCATTCCAGGGTCTTCAGCTGAAGCATTTGGCAATGACTCATGGTTTTGACATAATCAAAACACATTTTTGCTGTATGTCTTCCAGAATAGCCATCGGAGCAGGGAGTTTTTTTTTTTTTTTTGATTGCTAAAATTGCACAATGGATTTTTCTTTCACAGGAGCATTTGTTAATTTCTAGAATCAGTAATTTTCAATAAATATGTATTCAAGATATCCTACTGTCTCCTCTGAAAACAGAACAGATAACCCCTCATGTCTTTCCTCGGGGTACTTGTATAAGATCCACACCAGAAAACAATGTGGCAAAAATTAAAGAATTACAATTACTTTAATTCCACAACTAAAATAAAAATATACAGTTTGTGGATGCATTCCATGCACCCTCGGTGTGTGCGTATCATAGTGACATGTTCACTGTGTCAGGCTTTGTGCTGAACATTTTTTATCCATATTGTTTTTAATCTTTAATGCAGCCCTATGAAATAGCGTCCTTACTCTTAGTGGAAGAGTCAAAAGACACACAGAAAGGTTTAAACAAACTTAAAAGTTTGCAGCAGTCTGGCTGGGCACAATTCAGGAGCCACTTATCAAGCAGAAATGAACTTTATTTTTAGAACACACACCTCACCACAGGAGCTCTTCAGGAATTCCCTCAGAGCCCAACTGCCACCACGGGCTTCCCACAAGCCTCTCAACCCCCACTCTTCCTGCTCTTGAGGCCTATTGGCTGGGTCGTGTGGGTGGAGCCAAAAGAGTTCCCCAATGAGCAGCTCCGTGGTCTGAAAGGGCCGGGGAAACAGCCCAAAGAGCATCACCGTAGAGGAGCCAATCAGCTGGCAGCTGGAAGTTTGCTGGGGCCACGGTGAGCCAATCAGCTGGAAGTTTGCTGGGGCCCCTTGGCTGTGGCTCTCAATAAAAGTTGTTCAAGATTAAACAAAAACTAAGCCTAGTATGTCTCCAAGTGGTCAGGGAAGGGGTGAACAATAAAACTTGCAAGCCTTTGCTGAAGCTGTTGAATTTCCGGGAATATTTGTTGTTCCTTGTCAGCTCTGCAAACCTACTCCTCTATCATGACCCAGCTGAAGTGCTTCCTTCTCAATATCTTTCCTAATAAGCTGCCTCTCCTAATAAGACCTATATCATTATTCTTTGTCTTGTGTTTCTAATTTAGCACTCTCCTGTATCCTAGTTACTGACTTCTGCCATTCCCACAGGTGCAATCCTAATACCCTGAAGTCCTGGGCTATGGCATTTATTTCTGTTACCATACGGTGGAGAGAGAGGACACTGGCTATAAGTGTTTGTGGAGTGAATGAAGTATATTTTGACTGCTGGAGCAAAGAAAAGGAACATTCCAGACAAACAGATTGCAGTTCCATCTGAGGAAAACTGCATTTTTGTGGTAACATGTCACCTGATAAATGACGTGTGAAAAGTTGTGGAAGTTAAGACTCTGTTTGCATTGAGACTTGTTTATAGATATCCATGAATACTGTGCTTAACTGAAATGCCCATATCCACACAGAAGAAGCCAGGAAGGCGGGAAACACCAAATGGTAGCACCAGTCCTTCACCTGCTGACTTCCCTGTTTTACTCTTATTGCTAGGAAAAAAAAAAGTCACTATTACTAGTTTGATATCAGTCAACCAAATTTATTTGCTGAACATCTATTGTCTTCATTTTTATTTTATATAGTGCAGAACTTGGGACAGAGACTTGAGTGCAAATAGTATACTTGAGGGGTGAGTTTAGGAGATGCAAGTGAGGAATTATGGAAAGTAAGAGGAGGAAGAATGTTTGTGTTAATGATGGGGTCACCACTGTGGGCAACTTGGGTACAAGCCGAGGGTACATGCCTGAGGCTGGAAGCATTTCACTGCCATGATTTTATGCTCAGAATATTCTAGAAAATCAACTAAGAAGTGGCATTAATCATGAGTTCATTAAAATATGAACTTGTAAAAATCAACAGATTTCTTATGCACTAGCAATAATCCTCCACAAAAATGTAATGGGCCCAAAACTCACCATTCTTATGATAAATAAAAATATTAAAATCTGCTGAGCAATCCAATTGGCCTCGATGGGAGAAAGTAGTAATATTTCCTGAAGGACATCAAATGGTATTTTAATAAACACCAGAACAAAAAAATGTATAACTAAAGCCAGATTTGTGACTAAATGCATACATGTAGTACACATACATTTAATAAGGGTTTATCTCATACCAATGGCTCTTGAATGATATTGGCAAAGACTAATGAAAGAAAACTTACTTTGGGTCAAATTCTTCTGTGTCATTTAGATTTTTAAAGACTATATATTTATTATAGGATCTTTTTAAGCCTCATATATATGAAACATTTGACCTGGTATACAGAATGTCTCAATTTTATCATGGCAAAGATTATAGGTGTGGGGGGATTGTATAATTTCATTTTGGATACCTGATTTAATGTACAGGTTTGTTCATTTCTTCTATTTAACTCAATGTATAAGATGTCCACAGTGTAGATGTAAATCAAACCTTGACATCATAGACATCTGGTGTGGGATCAATCACTCTTTGATATTGGGGCTGTCCTATGCCTTATACAATGGCTGGCATCATCCTTTGGGTCTTCCCGCTGGACAACAGCAACAAGACTTTCCTTCCACCACTTGTGCCAACCATATCTCTAGACACTGTTGAGATCTTCTGAGGGCAAATTTGCCCCTTGTTGAGAAACACTGATATATGGCTACCTCATTTTCCCCAGTGGTTATATTGTGTTCCTAGGAAGCTACCAAGGTGTATTTAACTACTCACTGATCAATAGATATTTGGACATTTTCTTATTTTTATTATAAAAAAGATGTATTAAGATCTCATTTCAAAACTTTTAGTGAAGCTGGACATGGCGGTACACACCTGTAATCCCACTAGCTTCAGAGGCTGAGGCAGAGGGATCACAAGTTCCAGGCTGCTCTCGGTAACTTAGCAATGACATCTCAAAATAAAAAATGAAATGGATGGGTGATGTAGCTCAGTGGTGGAGTGGCGGCAGCAGCTGGAGATAAGTATATAGTCTTTAAAAATCTAAATGCCTTGATTCCATTCCCACTACTGCAAAAATAAATAAATAAAATAAAAATTTATAGTAAAAAAAAAGAGTAACAACCACATTCAATTTTCAATGACAATAGAATGGAAGTTTATTTTTTTCATATAGGAATAACAAGGTACAAGAAAATCCTTGCAAAGGAACATAAAGTGATACTTGATTGGATTTCAATGTCAGAGGTGTTAAACTGTTAAACATCTACGGCCCTACAGGTGACAGAAGCAATCTCAAATTCTTTAAGCATGACGAATGGACGTCCTGAAGATAAAGGGGAAAATGCTGGAGGTAATGTGTTAAATTATGAGGAGATCCTCAGTGAATTCATTTGCAATGTGAGGAGTTTGGACAAAATTCAGGAAGTGGATTATTCAGAATAACTAAGAATCAGATTGGCTTATGAGACTCAGGAGATCAATTCTCTAGGGCATGACATTTTTTTTTTTTTTTTAGAAGGAAGGTCTACATCTGTGGGGGAGAGGAGATAAGGAGATGGGGTGTTCAAAGACAAGATTCAGCAGTCAGGGATGGCACAGCACATGGGGCGGGGGCAGGTGGAGATGACACAGGTGGGCCGATAGCAAGTGGTGTGGCAGGAGACATTGCCACAGACTGGACGCAGGCGGCAGCAGGTCTGGCAGCAGCAGGAGTCACAGGAGGGGCGGCAGCAGCTGGAGATGCAGCAGCAGGGGCGGCAGCAGCTGGAGCCACAGCAGCTGGACCCACCAGAGCAAGAGGGGCGGCAGCAGCTGGACACACAGCAGGGCCTGCAGCAGCTGGGGCGGCAGCAGGTGGTCCTGCAGCAGGTGGTCTGGCAGCACCTGGGCAGGCAGCAGCCATAGCCCTGGCCAGAGCAGCAGGAGCCACAAGAGGAGTTGCACATGGTGTCAGAGACTGGAGGTTCTGGGTGGGTTTCCAAGTGGGTGAGTGTTCAGGTTTGATGTTTCCTTGCTCCCTCTTGCTTTTATACCCTGCTGAGGGCTACTATGATCATGTGAAGGATCTTGTTTATACTAAGAAAAGATCATTTAGTTTAGTTAATTAGATAATTGTGTTTATCTGGTAAACATTGCTATTTATAGAAAAGGGACCATTTCTTTTTCCTGTTGTATTATGAGCTCTCCAATTTGGTGAAGCCATGTGAATCAGCTCCATTTTTCATCTTGTCTGATATGCCTCCTAAGGTAGACCCCTTACATGACTTTAATTGGGTTTAATGTTTGTTTTTCATTTATGTATTCACCTCCAGAAAATATACGGGGAATAGATTTTATGGTGATTAAATCCCCTCTGTTTTGAAAAAAGTTAAAAGCAAGTAATATGTAATTCTGACATGAAAATAGTTAAAAGACCCATATTTTGGAGGTGTGTGGGAGATAGCTTGTGTGCAATGAGGAATACTGTGATTCCTTTGGATTTTCTGAATGGCCAGTGAGGTGTAAAGGATTCCAGTGATGTTCCTGTCTATTTTGTCTTACTGAGTCTATTCAGTTTGAAGAGTTATAATGCAATGGATTCATTACTTTTAAATAATAAAAAATCACATTGGCATGATTTTTATAAAATATTAAAATTTTATTGATATGTTGCTTTTCAAAGGTAGAGCATTATAAGGGACCATTTTGGACCTACATTTTGGAAAGGCAGTATATCCAAAGAGCATATTATAACTGAAATGTAAATAAAATTATATTGTTTCATAGTCTGAACTGTTTTCTCTCAACAATGTATGTTGGAGATATTTTATTCAATATTGAGAAGAAATAAAGGATAAACTTTAATCTCTGTCCCATAAACTCAAGGCAAATGATATACATAGGAAAGAGTTTGGCAACTATTTTAGAGGACTGTTTTATTAGTAAACAAAATAGCAATGTGTATTAAAATTTATACATTCCCAATGAAAGGTGAGCTCATACTAATTAGACTTTGCTGAGCACCTACTGTGTGTCAGAAATATTTCTGAGTCCTCTATAATTGTTTTCTTGTTTACACTTCACAAGGGTTCAATCTGGTGGACACAATTTTTCTTAATTCTTTACACATGAGGTCACTGAGGTCCAGATAGACTGAAGCACACAGTCAATAGTGATGGTGAGTCCCTCCTAAGATGTTCAAGGAAGGTGTGAAGAATGATAGCCCATGCCATTTCTCATGCCTGGAATATTCCATTTGCCTAGAATGATGCTTTCTCCTTTAGCATATTCACTCATTTCCAATATTTTTCTTGACATCTACTAAACTTAAAATGAATCCTTCTCTTCTCTCTGTTTCCAAATGTGTCTCTGCTCTAGACTATCATGCTTTATCATAATTGTTTTAGATCTCCTTTTTCCAGTCTTTTTGTAAAGCCTCCAAGGTCATTGTCTCATAAAAATGTCTTACAGTTATTATCATGGTGCCTAGTAAAGGCCTTGGGTGAAGGTTGGTCAGTCTTTAACATATTTATATAAAATCTACTTGGATGGATAAGAAATGAAAAAGCATTCAGTGAGTGCGTGGTTGAATGGGGGTATGTTTTTGGCATTTGCCTAGGTCAATAATCTGTATAGATAAGGTGTCTAGGAAAGTAGAGAAAGGTAATGCTCAACAGGTAGGATGGGGAGATTTTTAAGAAAGTTTTTGAATTTATATAGAGACTGGCTATCATATCATCACTCATGGGAAGAAAGCTCTGTGCAAACATGTAGGCCTTGCAAATATTATTTAACATGGGCTGGAGGAGTAACAGGAAGTGCAGTAGAACATTAAGGTCTTAGTTGTGTTATAAGGGTGAATGATGTCTAGTGTGGTGTAGTGTGGAAAGTATTGGAACAATAGGTGTTTCAAGGAAATCCATCAGAATCAGTTACAAAGGGACAGTAGAGGTAACAGGAGGCCTCATTATTAAAGAAGATCCTCAATTTAACATGTTTCTATTTTATACATATGTATACGTAGACTTTTTGCAATTAGGTCCTTCCTGATAGTTAAAAGACAATCATTTGTAATTTAAAAATGCAAGATAAGAAACCAGTTACACATTCACAATTTTTACATAATGCCATATTAGTGACTGTTGTATTCTGCTGCCTTTCATATCCCCTACTATCCCCCCTCCCCTCCCCTCCCCTCCCATCTTCCCTCTCTACCTCATCTGCTGTTGTTCAATTCTCTCCCTTGTTCCCCCCCCCCTTTCCCCTCACAACCTCTTATATGTAATTTTGTGTTACATTGAGGGTCTCCTACCATTTCCATATGCTTTCCCTTCTCTCTTCCTTTCTCTCCCCCCACTCGTCATAAAAAAAATTAAAAAAAAATAAAGATAAGAAACCATCCTAAACAAAATGAAAACACAAGTGATTAAATGGAAAAAAATACTTGTAATGTATATTATAGGCAAAGGATTAATCATATGTAAAGGACTTCTAAGACTAGATTAGATAGCTGGGGCTGTAGCACAGTGGTAGGGTGCCCACCTCACACACGTGAGGCACTGGGTTTGATTCTCAGCACCACATAAAAATAAATAAAGATTTTTTAAAAACTAGATTAGAAAAAAGATAAACTTTCTAATGAGAAAATGAAATACAGACTTTTTTCACCACATATACATACTCAATTTCATACATAATAAAAGGAGTGAAGTAATGTGGAATACCACCTCTGACCTGGTAAATGGTCAAAAATTCAAAATTTGACAATCTGACAGTGGGATAATGTGGAAATAAGCACACTCACACTTTGTGCAGATTTGACTATAACTAGCAGCATTATTCTTTGATGTAGTTATCTCGATTCTATAAAGTATCCCAAAGATACTTAGGCAAAACTATAAAGAGTTATTGCACAAAATTATACATAACAGTTCTATCTGTAAGAACAAAACAAAATAGCATCAAAAAACTGGATATAACCTGTGTCCTTCAATGGGGTACTGATGAATAAACCATGGCACATGTCTAAAATGTATAAAAATGGAATCAGTTGTATCCCTATATGCTACTATGAAGTCATCTCCAGGAATATATTGTTAAGAGATGATTAAGCACATGGAAAAAATGTGTTTCATATGGTACAATATGTCTAACTCAGGTTACAAAAAAAAAAAAAAAAAAACATAGAAATAAGAACACCAGAAAAAGGGATTTCTGATTCTGGTTAAGATGGAGTAGCATATGTCTACATAAATATTTGTTCACAAGTATTTATGGTAACTGTATTTGTATCAGAAAAAAATCTGGAAACAATTTAACAGGGTGAATGGATAAACAAACCAATATGTCCTTGCAAAGAAAAATTTCTCTAAAATCAAAAGGAATCAAATATTGATATATATGACACCTTGAATCTCAATATGCTGAGAATAAAGTTAGGTAAGAAATGTACACAATATGTAATTCCATTTATGTACAATTATACAAAAATGCAAGCAAATTGATAGTGACAGCAGATCATTTGTTTCCTGGAGTTGTGGAATGGGGAGGAATTTCAAAGGATATGATGAATGTTCATTACTTCGATGCTGGGGTTGTCAAAACCTCTGATTGTGCACTTTAAATAAGTAGTCTATTGCAGATCGGTTGTACCTAATGAAGCTGAAATAAGAGAAAAGAAAATAAAAAGAATAGGAGTATCAACCATAATTTGTTTTCTTCCTTTCAGAGAGAGGGTGAACGGAAGAGAGTGGAGAAAATACAGGTAGGTGCTAGATTTCTTGAACAGACCATGCTCTGAAGCTTTCTCTTTGGATCCATGTTAGTATTAGGCACTATTATAAAACAAAATCAAACTTCAAAAATCTCCCAAGGTCGCAAAAACAATGATAACAGCAACGATGATGCAAACTCACCATACATCTAGGTTAACTTCAGGGAAAGTAATTACCTCAAGAACAAAAAGGTTTTTTGAAAACCTTAATAAGAATGTCTAGTTTGTTTTCAGCAATCAGATTGGTGCTCTTGGTATTGGCAATGTCATTCCAAGGTTGTTGTACAGGTATTGTGCAGGAAGGAATTATGGGTCACTATGACGGAGAAGTATTGTTTTGGGCACGGGAGAAAGGAGATGTGTAGGCTGAGAGGTTGGTGTTAAATAGAACCCTCTAGTTCTCTGGAGCAACCTGGGATGTAGCTTGTTCTTTAAAAAATATTTTCTAACTCTGTACACTGAAAAAACTGAGATGAGAAAAAAATCAACTTACACGCACTATCACATTTCAATTTATGGTTTTACAGGTCACTTTCCACTAAAAGGAATCAGGGCTCCGTGGAAAGGTGGCTGATTATGTCTGGGGAAGGAAATGTACAAAGAAGTCTGGAATATTTTGTTATATAAAAACCAGGAAAACCTTCAGAGTCTACTAGATTCTGGTCAAAAGGACTTGGGAGCCAACTTGAAGTTACTTGTTTGAGCATCACAAGAGACGTGAGCTGGAATGAACTGATACCTCATCAATCTACTGAAATCTATGAGTTCTTATTGGCAGGAATTTTTTTTAAAGGAGGAAAAGCACTCACTTAGTCACTCTTGGATGATGCATACCAGTAAATAAATGGAGAATAATTAGAAACATTATTCTTCAGTGTAAACACACATCCATGAGAGCATAATAAGAGGATTCATTAGAGGATGTTTCCCTGCGGAATTGTCCCAGGTAATCAATGACAGTAACACATTTGTAATATCACAGTTTTTCCATGCTTCATGAAATGATGGTTCTAGGTGATGATCAGGAGCAGCTGCTAATATTATAGAGACAACTGGATGCTACGTGCCCCACCCTGCCCCCATCTGCCCCAGTGGAGAAGCACAGCGCTCCCCATGATATAGTTGTAGAGTCCTAAGGGTCTTTGTGGGTTTGTCTCCTATTAGCAGGCTCAGCTGATCTCTGGGTAAAGTTCACGTAACTTAATTCTCATCATTGGTGTGTGGCCAAGAGGAGAGGAGAGAGAAGACAGTGAGGGAAGCCTGAGTTATTTTTCAAGACTGATGCTTCTACATCATCTTTATGAAAAAGGGCGGTCCTCGACACCAACAAGGAAAACCAACCACTTCTGCAAGCCCAGAGAGTTCAGGGAAGTTGGGGAATCCAAGATCTTCAATTGCATCAACCCGGACATTCCCATCCCGTGTCTCCAGGTCTTGTACTTTCCCATTTGCAGTCTTGACCTTGGCATGGCAAATGGTCTGAGAAAGAAAACACCCTGGAGCTCGGCTACTCTAGTATTAAATCCTAGGCTTGGTCCTTAGCTTCATCCAGCCTCTGGCTGCAGGAGATGAGGCTTTATATTCTGTCATGAAAACTCTGTCTTTCACATTTGTCCTGTGATTTCTGACTTTAGCTGCACCTTCAGCTTGTATTGCTTTTCTAGATCACCAATCGCTCCCAGCAACAGTCATCCAGGTCTGTTATTCATATAGTTATTATAAACTGCTTTCACAGATATATAACGTCTCAGAAGATGTTGTTCCCTACAACATTGTTTACAGTCTTTCCAAAAAGCTTTTTATTCTCATTTTTTAGCCATTAAAGAGACTGTAGTGACAACGAGGCTGTGATAAATGTGTCTTGACATCTCATGTAAAATCGACAGCCCTGCTCTCTCCCACATTGTGGGTAAAATACAATTATCCAGATCAAACAGAAACTCAGAGAAGAACACGTTCACACTGAATTTCCCATTCAGGAAGGTGATGGTTTATTTTGGCATAGAAATATAACAAAGGAAAAAGTGGGGATTAATAATTATAAAAGAAAAACTTAAAGAGAAAGACTGTGAAAATCCGTAAGGTAGAAATATTGAAATCAACCCATGGATTCTTGAGCTTGATGACCTGGTGCCCAAGAGTTAGGAAGGAAATTGTGGAGAGAACTAGTCAGGTCAACATGGCAGTTGGTATATTACTAGCAAATTCACACATGGATAGGAGTGAGAGAGCCATGCACAGGCAGAGCATGGAGGCCAGGATGTGCCTGTGGCATTACTGGGCCTATTGTGGGCTTATTAAAATCACAAGACCCAGCTTAGAGGAGTGACATCAATCCCTCTCCATTTGACCTAGTGGTCAGCAGTGAAAGAACTCTTCATCTGTGGGGAGGGAGGAGATAAGGAGGTGGGGTGTTCAAAGGCAAGATTCAGCAGTCAGGGATGGCACAGCACATGGGGCGGGGGCAGGTGGAGATGACACAGGTGGGCCGATAGCAAGTGGTGTGGCAGGAGACATTGCCACAGACTGGACGCAGGCGGCAGCAGGTCTGGCAGCAGCAGGAGTCACAGGATGGGCGGCAGCAGCTGGAGATGCAGCAGCAGGGGCGGCAGCAGCTGGAGCCACAGCAGCTGGACCCACCAGAGCAAGAGGGGCGGCAGCAGCTGGACACACAGCAGGGCCTGCAGCAGCTGGGGCGGCAGCAGGTGGTCCTGCAGCAGGTGGTCTGGCAGCACCTGGGCTGGCAGCAGCCATAGCCCTGGCCAGAGCAGCAGGAGCCACAAGAGGAGTTGCACATGGTGTCAGAGACTAGAGGTTCTGATGTTAGCTAGAGAGTGAGTTTTAGTGAACTTTAAAGTCCCTTCACCATGCATCCTCTTTTATACTCTGCTGAGGCTGTTGTGACCATTTCCTGGGACCATTTCCTGCCTTTTTTTCCCCCTAAGGAAATATTAGTCATTCTGTGACATCATTGTGTTTTTCTTTCTAAATATGTTAAGGTTTCCTTTCCCCTGTGTGTTACCATGGTCCAATCCCGTCTTTCTCACTGAATTGTCATTTCTATTTCCTCATTTGTCAACTCTATTTTCTCAGGAGGGCCCATCTCATGGATTCAGTCATTGGTATGTATCTGTGGTCTGTGTATCACTCATGATGCTTTTTGGGCAGATTAGTCTCATGATGCCAAGATCTCTTTTGATGTTGAAAGAGAATCAGAATTATAGTAGGGAAATAGAAAAAAGTAAGGTTCTCTTTGTAAGTAGTTCCCTGTGAGTCATGAGGAACACTATCCTATTTGTGAGTCATAAATGCTTATTAGATAGAGGACTGTCTAGACTACTTCCAGGAATGCATCAGGAATTACTTCCTTCATTCAATTCAAAACTCTTACAATGACTCATTGTTTTACATAAGAAAATGCATTTGGAGACACTTTGAAGGGACTCTCACTGGCCCCATCTGGGACAACTTGAATATCAAAATGAATTATGGCAGTAATAGATTTTAGCCCATCAAATAAAACAATAATTCATAAGTCCATAGTGAGACTAATTATAGAAATGATAAAGGAAGGTGAGAAAGTTATCCCTGTCAGTAGAATGACAATTAATAAATGTAGAGAAATAATGAAGTCACAAAATCACTTATTTACATATATCATAATAAAATTAAGTAAGTTTCATCAATGAATGCAATAACCATTGGGTAAAATTTTGATCAGGAACAGGGTATTTGTACACTTCAAAATATTTCCCCATCAAAATGGAAGACATCATGGTAAGTGAATTAAGCCAGACTCAGAAAACCAAGGGTCGAATGTTTTCTCTCATATGTGGAATCTAGTGCAAAATAAGGGGAAAAGGTGAGGGAATTGGATACCATAGGAAAGATCAGTGTTATAGAAGAAGGAGAAGGAGAGGAAGGAGGGATGGAAAAGGGAAGGAAATGGGAATTAATTTAAGAAAATCATGCTATGTGCATGTATAAATATACCACAGTGAATCCCACCTTTATGTATATGTAGGATGCACCAATCAAAAACAAATAAATGAGAAAAATAAATATTTTCCCATTAACCATTTATTAACTCCAAAGGGAAAAATGCTAACTTTACTGTGAAGAAGCTTGAGAATACACATTAAACCCTGGATCAAAATTAGTATCATTTATTTTTTTATTTTTATTTATTTTATTTTTTAATTTGTTCTAATTAGGGATACACAATAGCAGAATGCATTTTTGTTGAGAGCCACAGCCGAAGGGGCCCCAGCAAACTTCCAGCTGCCAGCAAACTTCCAGCTGCCGGCTGATGATTGGCTCACAGCGGCCCCAGCAACATCTAGCTGATTGGCTCCTCGGCCCCAGCAACATCTACCTGATTGGCTCCTCTGCGGTGATGCTCATTGGGCTGTTTCCCTGCCCTTTCAGACCACGGAGCTGCTCATTGGGGGACTTTTTTGGCTCCGCCCACGTGACTCAGCCAATCAGCCTCAAGAGCAGGAGGATTGAGGGAGGTGGAGAGAAGCTTGTGTGGGAGAGAGAGGCTTGTGGAAAGCCGGTGGTGGCAGTTGAGGCTCTGAGGGTTTTTCCTGAGAGGCTGTTTTGTTTGGCATGTGTGGTTCTAAAAATAAAGTTAGTTTCTTTTGACAAGTGGCTCCTGATTGTGCCCAGCCAGACTGCGGCACATTTTGATTCATGGTGCACAGATGGAGCACAACTTTTCATTTCTCTCGTTGTACACGATGTAGAGTTGTACCACATGTGTAGTCATACATGTACCTAGGGTAATGATGTCTATCTTATTTCACTATCTTTCCTGCCCCCATGCTCCCTCCCCACCTCTCCCTCCCCTTTGTCCCATCAAAGTTCCTCCAAAAATTTTTATTCAGTGTTGGTATATTAAGAGTGAGTAGTTTAGCCAGGCTTGGTGGTGCACGCCTGTAATCCCAGCATCTCGGGAGGCTGATGCAGGAGGATTGTGAGTTCAAAGACAGCATCAGTAACTTAGTGAGGCCCTAAGCAACTCAGTGAGACTCTGTCTCTAAATAAAATATAAAATAGGGCCTAGGGATGTGACTCAATGGTTAGGCACCCCTGGGTTCAATCCTAGTGCCAAAGGGGCGGGGGGGGGGAATGGGTAGTTTGAATCTTTGAGGAGGAAGCCAAAGTATTTGATAAGTTTTACTTTAAAGGGGCTTCTATTATAAGTACCCATTTTTATTGATCTAACACACACAGTAATTCTTTCACCTTCTTGATTCCCCTAAAACTAAAGAGTTTCTAGTAACATGATTCGCCAAGCGGTTATGGACAGATCCACCTCCTGATACAAGCAAATAGAAGTGATTCAAAATTTTTTTTAAAAAAATATTTCAATTACATAGATGAATTTGAAGAAGAAAGGAAAAAAAATAGAAAATTTCTTATTTTTCAGAATCAAAGAGGGAACTCAAATCGCAAATTGTAGCAGATGTCTTGTGGCCTATGAAGTTTTGGCATCTGGTTGTAGGCTTTCAGAATTGGTGGCTGGTGGCCTCAGGCAGGTATAAGAAATTGGACCTTGAACTATATCACAAGGCAGGGTCTAGGATATGAGGCCCCTGCGTAATGTTTGTATTCTTAAAGTTGTATCTTATGAAGAAGATGGAGACAAGAAAGCCTAAGTCTGATTTCAGAAATTCTACATGGCAATCAAATCTCTCATGAACATTTAAACCATGCATTGCCTCCAAACTTCCTAAGTTACACTGTGTGCACAGTGAAGGAATCAAGGTTAGAAACTAACTGCTACTAAATAGAGAATGTCTTTGGAGTCATCAGACACAAAAGCGAAAAACAAAATAACTCCCAGACAGAAATAACTACCCGCCCCCCCCCCAAAAAAAAAAAAAAAAAAAAAAAACAGAACAAAACATTAAACACAGAGAGAAATAAATCTTAAGAAACCACACACAGACTATATGGGATGTTCCTGGGGGACACTTCCTACATAAGATAATTGCACAGGCCAATGTTACAAAGTACGTAAGAAATAATCGATCATGGGTTCACAGTTAATATAGAGAAAGGGAATGTAACTCCCAGGCACTGAGATAACGGAAGATTCTGAAAGATGCTATAAATTAATTGATTTAAAAGGCAAAGATAAATATAGAAATAATATTTAAGAAATTGAATATATGGAAAACAACAAATTTAGAAAAGTATGTCATGGAATTACCTTTGTTGCGATCATCAGTCCTTCAATATCACCTTGCCTCTATATGACATTTATCTCTGCCTGAAGAAAGAAAATGACTTTATTTCACTGTCATTTCTATTTCTCTGGGTATTTGAGTCTATACTGGTAGTGTTTTTCCACCCCCAGCATTTTGAAGCTGTCTCTTCATCAGTTGGAGTTCAGATTTACTCTTATTTTTGGTAAAATATGTGTTGTTTTTCCTCCTTGCAGGCTTGCTTTATTTGTTTGTCTCTAATATAGTCCATATTTAAGGTATAGAACATGATATTTTGTACAAGTTAATCAACATCTTCACTCCCTCCCAGGGATGTGTGGGGACACTCCACAGCCGCGTTCTTAGTAAGTTTCTAAGACATAGTACTGTTAACTATAGTCACCACGATGGATATTAGATACCTAACATTATTCCTCCTATATAACTGCAATTTTGTACACTTTGACCAATATCTCCCCATTTTTTTCACCAACTTCCTGCGTCTAGTAACCAACATTCTATTTTCTGCTCCTATAAATTTCACTTTTTTAGGTTCATCCCAGGGATGCAAGTTTGATTCAACATATGGGAATCAATAAATGTAATTCACCACATCAATAGAAAAGGATCACATGATTATCTATCAGATGCAGAAAAAGCCTTTGACACAATACGCATCCATTCATGTTTAAAACGCCAGAAACACTAAGGATAGAAGAAACATACTTCAACCTTGTAAAGGCTATATCTAGCAAACCCAAAACCAACATCATTCTCAGTGGAGAAAACAAATGAAGGCATTCCTCTAAAAAGAGAAACAAGACAGTGAAGCCCACTTTCACTACTTGTATTTCAACAGAATCCTAGCCAGAGTAATTAGGCAAGAGAAGAAAATTAAAGGGATACAAATAGGAAAAGAGAATCTCAAACTATCTCTATTTGCTGATGATATAGCCCCCAAAACTATATATTTAGAAGACCTAAAACTTGTCACCAGAAGAATTCTAGAACTCATAAATGAATTCAGCAAAGTATCAGGACACAAAATCAACACCCATAAATCCTATACTCCAATGATGAATCTGCTGGAAAAGAGATTAGGAAAACTATCCCACTCAAAATAGTCCAAAAAAAAAATACTTGGGAATCAATCTAATGAAAGAGGTGAAGGGCCTCTGTAATGAAAAGTATAGAACAGTAAAGAAAGAAATTGAAACAAACAAGGAAGGGCCGAATGGAGGGATAAAGCAAATAAGAGGAGTGGAATCTTAGGGAAGATATGCTTTCAAAGATGAAGGAAGATTTGCTGCTTGACCTTGCTTCTCCTACCCCTAAGAAAATTAAATAAAATATTTGTTATTCTTCAATGCTTTTGGAACATCAATATATTTTTTTTCTCTCAATTCATAACATGTTGGGATTGACTTCATGGTGAGAGCAGGAATTGGAAAGCTTTATTTAATTGTGTTTTGTATATAATATCCCAGTTAACTGGGAACAATGATTAACACAGCAACAGACACCAGAAAATGTCATTTTTTAATGCCAGGAAAGTGGAAATTTACTTAAAAGCAACAACAAGAAGATACAGAGATGTCACTATAAAGGAAATAGAAGATAACAA